ATCACCGAACAGTGTCAAAAAACATTCAAACCTCTACGTCACTTCCGTTCCCCAACCCTTAAAGAAACAAGCATTCGTTCTATCTTATAAATGTAACAAACATATTGAAAAGATTGTGAGACATATTGTGAAAAGATGTTAAGTAATCCTGAAAACGGGCAGGCCGAATATGCAGTCTGGTAGGTCTGCCTGGCAGTGCTGCGGATGGTGGCGGGATTGACGATTGTGGGGCCGCCGGATGCTGTGCTGGGGGCCGGGGGCACGAAGAACTCAGTAGAGAGCAGGGGAGCGTGGCGTCCTGAGTGTGATCCACACCAGAAGGGCATTGTACTTTCCTAAGCCGACTGGCATGCCAACGGGAACCATCAGATAACTGGAATGTACCTGTGCCCGGTTGCATAAAGCACCTTAAGTGAAAATTTCCCTTAAGTTCGCCCTTATGTTTCCCTTAAATCTAAGGGTGTTGCAGAAAAATACCCTTAAGTGTTACTTAACGGTTTTTTTAAGTGAAACGTCATAAACACTTAGAATTTCCCTTAAATGCTGTTTTTTCCCTTAAGTAATCCCTTAAAAAGCGTTAACTGTTGCATAAAACCCCTTAACGGTCATTTCCCTAAGTATAATTTAAGGTTTGGAAATCGTAACCTTAAGAGTAACGCGCACAAAAATAAGACGACATGGCTGAATTTATGGAACCAGTTGAAGATAATTATGTGCAAAGACGAATTTTTAGAGATCGGGAGAACCCTTTGGACCATCTTAGCGATGAAAAATTGTTGCTTGAATACCGGTTTGATCGACGCGCAATTTTTGACATAGCTATCAAACTAGACGGCTGTCTGTCTGTCATTACACGTGACTCGCATGTAAACTATCACAACGTTAAGTCAGTGCGCGCACGGAGAGTGTGTGGCCGACCCGTGCAGAAAAAGATTCACAGGAGAACGAGCTGATTCTGTGTTTTAAAAGGAATCATGACAGAAGAAAGGAGGTATGCTATGGAAATATACTCAGCTGTATTTTGAGACACAGAGCCAGAAATGCATTCACAAAACCTAAACAAATGCCAAAGCATGACACTGTGAACAACACAAACTGCCGCCACTTTCGGAGCTAACGCGGTGTTGCGTGATAGCGTCACTGGACTGACACGTGATATTCCGACATGTTAGTGTTTTGCGTATCTATGGCAACAACAGACTTTTATAACGTGAATCCAGGATCGCTGTCGTGAAACACTTAAATGTTTCCCTTACCTAAGAGAACCGTTTAAGAGATTATATGCAACACCCTTAAGTTATTCTCTTAGGTAAGGGTAAATCGCCCCTTAAGTATCATACTAAAGGGAAAAACTTAAGGTGCTTTATGCAACCGGGCACTGGACCTAACTGCTTCTGTACCTGCTGTGGCTGTGACCAGAAAGTGTGGAGCTTGTTTTTCCTGTGTGGCTGCTGAACCCGCACCCAGTCCAGTGGGGAGATTCTGGGAATTCTGGCCTTTTTTTTTTCATTGTATCTGCCCTGTGCTTTGAGCTGTTGTCTGCACACCCTGGCTTTCACCACAGGGTTTCCCCGGCATGAAGTAGGAGGCCGAAGTCTGTGTAGGGGTAACTCCAGCTCTCGTCCCAGCATCAGTTTTGCTGGTGACGCCCCAGTGGTGGCATGCTGAGCTGCTCTGTAGTGTAGAAGAGTCTGAGACAAAGCCTCTTTGAAAGAGCATCCTTGAGCTAAGTGGGCTCTCAGACCATTTTTTAGGGACTGATTAAATCTCTCTACGCCCCCATTTGACTGCGGATGATAATAAGCTGTTCGTATGTGTTTGATCCCTTTGCTTTGGATGTAATCAGTAAACTCAGCAGACACTAGTTGAGGGCCATTGTCAGTCGTCAAGGACCTTGGCAGGCCCCAGCGGGAAAAGAGCGACTCCAGAAAGTCAATGATGGAACTGGATGTAACAGAGCCCACAGGTGCAACCTCTGGCCACTTTGAGTGTAGGTCATAAGCTACAACGAGGAACCGCGAATGATGGGGCACATCATGAAGTTCACCACAGATATCTAGTTGAATGTGGTCCCAAGGTTGAGTTGGCCAAGGCAAAGACCCCAGTGGCGGTGGGGTTGGTGGGCCCATTTTCCCGCTTACAAGACATGGAGTACAGTCCCGAACAAGCTGTTCAATGTCTTTGTCCAACCCTGGCCACCATACCAGCTCTCCACAACGCTGCTTCAGTTTGACTATGCCAAGATGGCCCTCATGCGCCATGGCCAGCACCCGGCCTCTGAGCTTATCAAGGATAATGACACAGTGTCCACGGGCCAAGCATGTATCGTTCCAGCATGACAATTCATGCTTCACTCTGGCATACGGCTGGATATCCGTTGTGACTTGGGCTGGCCAGCCATTCAAGACATACTCACGGACAGTGAAGAGGGTGGAATCAGCTGCCGACTCCTCTGTGAGTTCCTCCAAGGACACGAAAGCCACGAGGGGTGCGTGCACCATTTGAATAAGATCCCTTTCTTCAGTCGCATGACAGGAGGCAATGGGAAATGACACAGAACGGGACAGCAAATCGGCTACTACATTATCTCTCCCTGACGTGTACTGTATTGTAAAGTCATACTGCTGGAGACGGTCAGTCCAGCGGTACATGCGCAAGGGTTTGTGGCCAGACGTCACAAACACTGGGGGCTTGGTGATCGGTGCGAAGGGCTTGGTGAGGGACTTACTTGGTGATCGGTGCGAAGAGTGAATTTCCGGCCATAAAGGTAGGCATGCCAGCGCTCACAGGCCCATACACAAGCCAGAGCCTCCCTCTCTCCAGCAGAGTACTTTTGTTCTGTCAGGTTGAATGCCCGAGAAGCAAAAGCCACTGGCCGTTCGATACCGTTCTGGAGTTGTGAAAGAACCGCGCCAGCGGCAGTAGCTGAAGCATCACAAGTGACCAGCGTGGGGCAGTCAAGACTGAAGTGGGCTAAAACAGGTGGGCTTGTCAACAGTTCCTTGAGTCTGCGTACAGCGTCTGAACAAGCCGAAGACCAGGTCCAAGTAGCATCCTTTTTTAGCAGCTGGCGAAGAGGGTATGTAATGGTGGAATATTGGGGCAGGAAACGCATATAGTATGTTGTCATCCCCAGGAACGATGCGACTTGCGCTGTGGACGAAGGCTCTGGCACCTGATGTATAGCCTCAATATTAGAGTGTAATGGCGAAAGGCCCTCAGCTGAAACATGAAAGCCAACAAAGTCAACCTCTGGCACCGCAAACAAGCATTTCTCCACATTAAGCGTCAGATTATGTTGACTGAGGGCAGCAAAAGTGTCCCTTAAGCGCTGTTCGTGAATCACTGCATTTGGGGCATGGACAATGACATCATCCAGGTAAATGGCAAGACCAGGGACACTTGCCAGGATGGTGGACATAATTTTTTGGAAACAGCTAGGCGCCGAACTGAGTCCAAAAGGCATCCTCGTGTAACGGAATACGCCAACATGCGTAACAAATGCAGTAAGGTTTCTACTGTCTGGGTGAAGGGGAACCTGGAGATAACCTTGGCGAAGGTCAAGTTTGGAAAAAATTGTTGAGCCGTGAAAGTGTGTAGTCAGCTCTTCGATTGTCGGCAGAGGGTAGCGATCTGGGATTACTGCTTTATTGACGGATCTTAAGTCCACACAAACTCTCAGGCCACCAGATTTTTTCTTAGCCACCGTCAAATTAGACACCCATTGGGAGGCATCAACAGGTTCGATGATGCCCTCTGCTTGCAGTTTACTGAGTTCTGCTGTGACTTCCTCACGCAATGCCAGCGGAATGCGGCGAAGTGGCTGAATTACTGGTTTCACTGTGGGGTCCAAGAGAGGTTGGTGTGTGAAAGCAGCTAAACACCCAAGGCCCTCAAACAGTGTTGGCCATTCTAGTTGCCAAGGACAACTGACAGTCAGAATTTGAGCCCACTTGTTGTCTAGTAGAGAAAAGTCCAGACTCATAAACAGGTCCAGTCCGAGGATATTGCTGCCATTGCGAGTAATGTGAAATGGGGAGTTAGATAGAGCTTTGGTGCCATATTGGACAGGTGCATGTACAAGACCAATAACGTCAATTCGAACTTCCATATCCATTCGGATAACTTCCATATCCAAACAAATTCAGAGAGGGTGGCTGGATGGGCAAGTGTGACAGGAAACGCTCATAAGTGGCCATATTGAGCAGCGAGACTTTAGCCCCTGTGTCCAGTAGCAAAGGAATACATGAGTCTGCTATATTAACAGTGCATGTAGAAAACCCTGCTGAATTAGTGTTGATTGAATGAATAATAGCAGGGGTTGTAGCATTCACACGTGGATTCCGCTGTGAAGTAGCTTGGACTGGACTGGAGCAGACCGACACCATTTTGCAAAGTGGTTCTGCTTTTGACAGTGTCGACATGTTTGTCCCCGTGCCGGACAGTCAAGAGCACGTGATGAGTGTCTAGAGGAGCCGCAATTTCCACATCGGCGCTGAACTTGAGGGTATGCATGCTGTATGTCCGCACTCAAAGATATATCTGCCTCTGCCCCGTGAACTTGTGTGCATTCTTGTATCATGTCCCCACTGCTTACGCTTGATTCATGTCCCATGTTTAATTTAGCAGTGCATTGGGACGCAGACTCGATTTGAGAGGCCAGAATTACAGCTTTCTCTACAGTGAGATCATCATCTTCCAATAGCAACCGCTCCCGAATGAGTGTATTATTTGTCTTCTCAATTAGCTGATCTCGTATCATCTCGTCTGATAAAGTACCAAAACAGCACGGTTTTGCCAGCCCTCTTAAATCAGCGACATATTGAGCAATCGACTCACCAGCGCGCTGTCTGCGCTGTCGGAACAGCAGCCGTTTCAGCAGGAGACTCTGTTTTTTTCCAAAGTGTCGATCTAACAGCGTCATCCCAGCAGCGTAATCATCCGCTTCTCCGAGTGTGTGAAACACACGCTGTCCTTCGGCTCCGAGACAGTGAAGGAGTATGGCCATTTTTCGCTTCGTCGGGACAGCATCAAGGCCCATTGCTAAAAGGTACGTTTCGAATGATCTTTTCCATTGTTCCCATGGGACCGTAGGCTCGCCGGGATGGGGCAAAAAAGGGCTCGGGGGAGATAACGACAGCATGGGAAAATCATCTGCCATTCTCGTCGCCAATTGTTATGTCTGTAAATACGACTCGTACTTGAGCTTACTTGACTTCTTTTATTGTCCTTGTTTACATCACCGAACAGTGTCAAAAAACATTCAAACCTCTACGTCACTTCCGTTCCCCAACCCTTAAAGAAACAAGCATTCGTTCTATCTTATAAATGTAACAAACATATTACTTTAACTAAACATCAGATTATCATACTAACTAAGCATGCCACATTTTGTTTTAAAGAGTTTTTCAGGAGAAGACACCCCTGAAATCAATCAGAATCTCACTGTCAATAAATAATCTATCTTTCTTGTTTTGTTTTAGTTGATCTAGCTGAACTAACCCATGAGTACCTAATGGTCTTTGCTGGTTTAAAGAAGAAGTTTTGCTTTACTTTTGTTTTAATGTTTGGGTGCTTTTTTTTTTATAATAAACTTTTTTCTGCTTTTTTGCCAATATTCTGCTGCATTTTAAACATGTTCTCTCTTTTTTTTCACCCCAGACTGTCCAAAAAGAACGTGAGGGTTGTATATAGAATTAAAGAGTACAGTCCCCTCCTCGACTCCTCTAATATGACCCCAGCTGACTGGGAAAAAATTGCAAAAGACATTGAGGTGCTTCCCTTTTAACCATCTTTATTGTTTGGCTTTGAGTTGCAGGACTTATTTCATGCTTTTTTTAAACTGACATTAACAGATCTGAGGATGACATGACTTAATATTCTGATTTGTGAAAAGAACTGATGTGATAAATTATTGGATTTTGTTTTTGTACAAAAGAAAAAAAAATTGTTAATTGTAGATAATCTTTGGATTTCTTGAAGGTAGATCAGTGAACACTTCAACAATAAATTCTTTAGTTTGTCAAAATCACTACTGAGATTTTTAAAGTTTGTTCCCCATGTTCACAGACAAATTACGAGCAATGCACTGGTTTTGTCGTCCTGCACGGCACAGACACCATGGCTTACACTTCTTCTGCCTTATCCTTCATGTGTGAGAATCTGGGAAAGCCTGTCATCGTCACTGGCTCACAGGTAACACGTGATGTTTTAAATTGATCATTTACTCACCTTTGTGCTGCACATATTGTCGAGCATTTCAGACTACTTATACTGGAGGTGTGTGTTGTGATCAGTCAACCGCTTTGAGTGTGTTTGGGAGGGAATTATTTAAATGAGGGATATTGTGACATATTTGTTCTTGGAAGAAAACTCAAAACTACTATGGAGGCGTTTCAGGAAGTTCTGTGTCAATGCTTAGTGATATAGAGAGACTTTGTGCTTTATAACTTTGCAGAACTTTGTATTGCTCAAACAGCTAAATTACACGCTAAAGAAAGCTGAAAATGTCAAAAAGCATGAAAGGACCCCTTTTAAAGTTATCTCCAACTAGTGTTAAACATTGTTAAAAGCACTGTATAAATGAAAATGACACAACCATTGCAGCTGCCCATCTATGAGTTGAGGACTGATGGGAGAGACAACCTCTTGGTGGCGCTGTTGTTAGCAGGGCGGTCTCCTGTTCATAGCAGGATCATCCCTGAGGTGAGTTTTATATTCTCTGTGAGTGTTTGTAGCCTTTACACATTCAGTATGTGCCAGATTGTCCAATACTTGAGATGTTAGCACTGCAGTTATAAAATAGTCTTCATTAAGAATTTCATTATTAAAAGGGATAGTTCAAAATTCTGTCATGTTTTATTCACACCAGAGTTGTTCCAAACCCGAATTGAATTTCTTTGTTCTGCTGAACACAAAAGAAGATATTTTGAAGAATGTTCATAACCAAACAGTTAATGGGCCCCATTGACTTCTATAGTATATAGTATTTGTTCCTAATTAAATGGATAGTTCACAACAAAATGTATATTTATAAAAATGTATAGTTTCTGTATAAAAAAAATGTATAATGTAATGTATCAAAATTCTGTCATGTTTTACTCACACTAGAGTTCTTTCAAACCTAAATTGAATTCATTTGTTCTGCTGAACACAAAAGATGATATTTAATAAGAATATGCTTAACCAAACAGTTGTGGGGCATAATTGACTTCAATAGCATTTAAATAATTTTATTTTAAAATATGAAAGATATTTTTTTTAATAAAATATAGGAAATAATATTTGAAGAAATAGATTTAAGTGTCCTTTGAGATGATTATGTTATGCAGTATATTTTGTTTCTGCACAATAAAGATACTTTATTATACATTATTGTAGTAATTGTATTATTGTTATAAAAATAATTATAAAACAGTTTAAATTGAGTGAAAGATCAGAAATAAGCTCTTTGTGTCTTTCTTCACAGGTTTGCCTGTTTTTTTGTCAAAAGCTGTACAGGGGCAACCGTGCCACCAAAGTGGACTGTGCAGGCTTTAACGCATTTACCTCACCAAACCTGTCGCCATTAGCCGACGTTGAAATCGACATCAAAAGTAATTCCGGTTCTGCCAACATTCATAGCCTTATAGTCAGAGATGGGCAGTATTTTAATTACAAAATACTCAAAAGTAATTAAATATGTATTTCAAATACATGTAATTTATATTTTCCTAAACAAAAAAAAAATCAATTTTTATGCCCATCTCCTCAGTAAAGCCGGTTCCTTGATTAGTAGTAAATCACCTTCACCTGCTTTCAGATGGAAGATATGCATGCAGATATGAGTGTTAAATTAACACTCAATAGTGTTAAAGTTAATGAGATAATTAAGTGATTAATTTAGTGATGATTGAGCATTATTGAAGACACCTGATGTTAACAAGCAGAATCACTGAAGGAGAAAATCACAAATTGTCAGTGTTTGCTTTAGTTGGGCTCTTGATCCTTATACTTTCAATTAAAATTTTGTTTGTCTGCTGTTATTGATTTATAACAGTCAAGTGAACAAAGAAAAGTGTGATCTGATAGTGTTGGTTATGTTTTGGCATAATCATGCTGTAATCATACTGAAAAATGAAACTTATTGAGATAGTTTGGTTTAACTTGTTAGCAACAGCTTTGTGATTCTACAGCATATGATTATCAGTATTTTTCTTAAAATCCAAACATTTTAATGAACATTGTTCTGATTAAAACACTTTCAAATGAATTTATTTAGAAACACAGACATCAATAATCGGCCTGTGAATCTCAACAATGGTGACAATAAGAATGCATGTTGCAGTAGTTGCCACCAATCACAACTCATTAATGGCTCCCATCATGCATTGCGGTATGAATAAATTATGATCTGAATTGTCTATGTAATTTACTTTTCCTAATTGAATATTCTGCTTGTCACCATTGTTGAGTTGCGTTGACTGAATCATGACGTCTGTGTGTGCCTAAAAGAAAGATTTTTTTTTAAAAACAACTTTTAAGAAATCCTTTATATTATATCTAATATTCTGGATATTTATGCAGAATCACAGTTATGCTGTAACCAACAGCATAAATCACAAACATAAAGTTCAAATGATGATTGTCATAATATAACCAACACCATTAGATCACTTTTTTTATTTGTTTATATGGCAGTTATAACTCAGATACAACAGCCAAATAAAATCTAAAGTTAATAATATAAGGGTCAAGAGCCCAACTAAAGCAAACAATGATCGCCATAACGGTGGCTTACAATTTGTGATTTTCTCCTTCAGTGATTCTGCTTGTTATCATCAGGTGTCTTCAATAATGCTCAATCATCACTAAATGAATCACTTAATTATCTCATTAACTTTAACACTCTTGAGTGTTAATTTAACACTCATATCTGCATCATATCTTCCATCTGAAAGCAGGTGAAGGTGATTTACTACTAATCAAGGAACCGGCTTTACTGAGGAGATGCGCATAACATTTGATTTACTTTTGTTAAGGAAAATACAAATTACATGTATTTGAAATACGTATTTAATTACTTTTGAGTTTTTTGTAATTAAAATACTGCCTATCTCTGCTTATAGTCTTATTACCATATGGGTCTATTTATAGATTAGTTTTTCAACAAAAAAAAAGAAATTCACATGCCATAGAAATTCAGCATGTTCTGAGTGCTCTTTTCTATGTAAATAAAATGATTTGGGAATAAGACTTTTAAAAGGATAGTTCACCCAATAATGGAAATTCTGTCATTTACACACCCTCAAGTTTTTCTAAACCTGAATGAATTTCATTCTTCTGCAGAGCACAAAAATAAGATTTTGAAGAATATGGTTAACCAATTATGGAAGTCAATGGTCCCCATGACGTCCCGTCAACTCTTTGGCTACCCATATTCTTCAAAATATCTTCTTTTGTGTTCTCTTTTTAGAAACAATCACAGAAAGTTGAGTTGATGTTATCCATATTTGGCATAAACTTCAAAAACTCACCATTGGTAGTTGACAATTTATTAATTAAATACATGTGCATGTATAGAGGAAGATTGACTGGCAGTAATATTTTAGTATCATTGATATACTTTTACAGTTTATATATAATCAGGTGTTTTAAATTTTAGTTACATTTTTAGTACTTTTGTTGAGAATTTGTGTCATTTTTATAATTGTTTGCTTTTTTGCATAATGTCCATGTATTGTTTAATCATTTTTATTTAAATTTTAGTTTTAGTTAAAACTAAATGAAAATGAGAAATGTTGCCTTTGCAAGTTTTTTTTAAAATTTAATTTATTTGTATTTATTATATAAATATTTATTTTATTTCAGTTAATGTTTATTTCTATTAATGTATTTATATACAGTATATATATATATATAGTTTTCGTAAGTTTTTTACAACATTTTAATAATCCTGTGGGGAGAAAAATGAATTACAAAGTACAAATATTATACTGTTTGATACAAATGATTTAGAATAAAAGTTACAGTTTTAGTTAAGTATATTATGTGCATTACAGGACACTGCTTGAAATTTAATGTCAACTCCCTTATTATTGATGTTGCAGTGGTATTTATTTTATGCAGATGTGTTATTTTGAGTATTATGCTTTATTTCTTGCTCTTTAGTTAACTGGGACATTATATTGTGGCCCAGTAAAACAGAAAAATTCACTGTCGACACACGATTGAACAGTAATGTGGGTGTCCTGCGACTCTTCCCAGGAATCACTGATGCGACAGTAAGGCCGTGTGGTTATGTCTGCCTTTATTTGCCACAATATTTTCCCAAATCTCTTCATTCAGTCCATGACATATTAATTATTTTTTACAATGTTTAGTAAATACTGACAGAAATTTCATTATCGGCTGAACTTTTGGAAGTTTCAGATGTTTAAGTGAGATTAATTCTCTCATCAGGTCGAGAATTTCTTGCAGCCTCCTATGGCTGGGGTGATATTGGAGACTTTCGGCAGCGGTAACGCCCCCGACCGCAAGAGCCTGATTGATATAATCAAAAAAGCGACAGCGAGAGGAGTCATCATGGTCAACTGCACCCAGTGCCTCCGTGGTTCGGTCACAACCGCATACGCCACTGGCCAGGTTTGGGAGTTTGATTAAGAAAGGCCTTATATGTGGGTGTATTCCAGGAGTGTGTAATGTAATATTTCCTCTCAGGCTCTGACCAAAGCCGGTGTGATCGCTGGGTTTGATATGACCCCAGAAGCTGCTCTTTCAAAACTCTCCTATGTGCTGACAAAACAAGACCTCACTCCAGATAAGAAGAAGGAGGTATGGAAAATTTACATTTGAAAAAAAAAAGATATATTTAAGCCACATTTGGGTCAATAACATTTACACTACCATTCAGAAGTTTGGGGTCAGTAATAAATCTTGTATCACGTATTATAATATTAAGCAGCACAACTAATACGTTTTTGTTTGTTTTTTTATTACATTAATTAATTGGGAAGTCACACTACATGGCATTTTACATTCTGAACTTACTTTGCTTTGTATAATGTATATTATTTTTTAATTTTTTTGATATTTTAAGAAACGTATTGACCTTGATACAGTCTTTTCTTTATTTTTGTTAGTAAAGTAGTTTTATTGTAAATAATAATAATTAGATAATAATTATTACTTGTTTTAGATCACTTATTAATTAAACATGTTATTTGTTCATAAGATGATGCAACGCAGTCTGCGTGGTGAGCTGACAGATGACAGCAAAAAACCAAAGCTCAGCGACAGTCGCTTTATTCAGGTCATCGCCAAGTCTCTCAGCATTAAGTGTGATGAGGTAATGTAACCTTCACTTTCTCCCCTTCTAACTTTGTTTTGCACTTTAAAAGAACAGGGTTGTGATTATTGACAACAACAAAAAAAATGTAATCCCAATTTTTCAACTGTGTTTGCACCATTGTGTTATTTTCTTAGCCTCGATGATATGTGGCACTGCAATGTTGTCATAGAGTTTTCATCTCTTAGGGCCCTATCTTGCACTCGGCGCAAATGACTTTGTGCACTGACGCATGTATCATTCCTATTTTGCACCCGCGCAAAGCGGACTTTTCCCTCCACAGACACACGTCAGTTAACTATGAAATACACTTGTGCTCCCCGGGGCGGTTCAGCGCAAAGAGGAGGCGTGTTCCGGCGCAAACTTTCCCTCATGCTATTTTGCTGTTCTATAAAACAATTGCGCCACTGACCAGAAAAGAACTAGTCTAAAGTCAGTGGCGCGTTGCGCGTTGTTCATTATGCTATTTTAAGGGCGCATGCTTGGCCATAATCAATGTAGCGGGTGCACAACGCGCATACACTTTGATTCTCTCATCTAAGCAGCAGTTTTCATTTTTGCAAATCATACATTATTACGATAGATAGATAGATAGATAGATAGATAGATAGATAGATAGATAGATAGATAGATAGATAGATAGATAGATAGATAGATAGATAGATAGACAAATTATTATAAAACCATACATGTAGCTTACACATTTACCCAAATTATCATACGCCTGCTTAACAGAAGTTAATTTGGGTGGGTTTCTCCATCCCCAATGTCACTTCTCTGTGTTTTACGGGCCTGACGAGAACGTTGCTCTCCTCGGCTGTGATCCGCTCCTGGCGCGCGCCTGGCAAATCCGCCGTTATAATAGGAATCCGCTTTAGAACAAGCGCGCCTGCTCTTAAAGGGAATGTGAGATGACGCTCTGATTGGTTTATTTCACGTTACGCCCAAACCACACCTATGAATAATGAAGCTACTTCAGACCAGCCCCTTTTAGATTTGCGCCAGGCGCAAGAGGCATTTATCCCGCCGGGAAAATAGCAACAGCGCCGGGATCCGCCCACAAAGTTACTTGCGCTTTGCGCTTTGACACTTGCGTTTCAGATCGTTAAAATAGGGCCCTTAGTCTTTTTGCTCTTTCAATCGCATAACTTATGTCTACATTCCATCTCCGTTTTCACAAAACAACACACAACTAACAGATGTGCCAGTTTGGTGCTCTGCATTTTAGTGTAAACTGATGATTATGGTACAACTACCACCATATAAAGAATGAGAAGAGGCTCAGATGAACAGATCTAATATTATATTACTGATGTCCACAGGAGCTTGGACCCGTACGAGATGCACTAACTCCAACTCTGGTCTGCGTCGCTGCTAAGACCGGAGACATTGAAGCTTTAGAGGCCCTGAGGGAAATGGTAAGATATTAATACCTGTTTGGACACCCATTTAGAAGGGCAAACACTACCTGTAAAAAGTGTAATCAAATAAATGCAGCCTATTCCAAACTTTTTACAGTTGCAGTATTCCTGCAACTTTTTTGTATTTTAATATTTTTTTATTGTATTAAAAATGGTCCAGGAGCATGCGAACAAGTCCGATGTGGTGGTTTGCAGTAATAAATGCAGTCTAGAAAATCAGGACACGGATTATGATTCTTATCTTTCTATATAGGGCTCTGACTTGATCATGGCAGACTATGACGGCCGCACTCCTCTCCACGTCGCTGCATGTGCGGGACATGTAAAAGTGGTGGAGTATCTGCTGAGTAAAGGGGCCTCAGTCTATGCCAGAGATCGCTTTGGTGAAACACCACTTCACAGTGCTGTGCACGGCAGGTAGGACTGATTTAAGTGTCCAAATACTTTTTAGGGAGACAACAAATAATTGCCATGATTTCAAAGTTGAACTCTGCATGACTTGCCCTCACCTCCACCATCAAGACTTCCACCACCATCTCCAGCATCTTCCTACACTTCAGCACAACCCACCATTCCTGCAATAGAGAAATGGATAGTGTTGGGGTTAAGACAAGCACTAATCAACGCTGATGTTTATTTTTCTAGGAGAATGAATAAAGCACAACTGTACGACCAGTGCGTTTCACTCCAGGCAGCTTTCCCTTCTCCAAAATCCACTCCACGTTCAAAATCCGCAAAAAAGGCAAGTAAATACAAGAGCCCGAACTCACGTTTCCAGAAAACACCTTCTCCATCTCTCGCAGGTCCCAGTCTTCCGCGAGCGTCAGGCCGCAGCAGGCCTTCAGCTAGCCTGGGCCGCGCCCCAGATTCCACCGCCGCCGCCGCAAGGCCCCTCTCTACTCTCCGCTCCGCCGAGCTATAGACTGCAGCTTTCCCAAGCACCGTGCCTAACGTCACAATGCCAGTTTTCATCGAAACAGGCCGCCCTTTCTCCGCGGGTATGCCTCCGCCAACGGCGCAGGGTCAGCTACCTCAGACCTTTCCTGTCACCTTTTCCAATTCTTTCCCCTGTCCATGGCCTGAAGCCCCACCATCAGACTCTAGTGCGAGGCTGCTTCAGCTAGCGGCGCAGGCCCAGACACCCTTTCTACCTCTCCAGCTCCCCTCCTTTCCCACTTTTTCAGTTCCTCCACAGGCTTCAGGGGCCGACCCAAGTGTGAGGTTGCCTCCACAAACTGACTCGACCCAGGTTTTTTTATCTCCTAACACCTTTTCTCAAAATCGTTCTCCTTTCACTTTGTTTTCCGAGATTCTGATGCCCATCCCGCCAAACGCTACAGCTATGGAACTGCCCCCTGTTGCCAGCAACATCAGAGCACAGATCCTCACAGGTGCGGACATCGATTTATCTTCCCTTCTATCTTTACTCCCTCCCTCGGTCTCAAATCGCCAAATCGACTGCGGCGATTTTGCAGTCACCCTCAAAAATCCAGTTCATAATTCATCCCGTATTCTTTCGTTTTCTGAATTTGCTATTGCTTTCAGCCGGTATAGCGAAATAATTTGCGCCGCACTTCCCCACAGGAGACGCGAGTTAAACGACTATCTCGCGATCATCGCAGAGCTCGCGTTATCGTACGGAGGAACCCACTTCTATACATACCACAAATTGTTCTCGGCAAAATGCTCCGTCCGTGTAGCCCAGTGGAACCAGTGCCCTTACTGGGGCGCCCTAGACACGGAACTACATAATAGAGTGTTTCTGGTCTGCCATAACATATGTTGCGCTGTTTGCAGATCCGTTTCTCATTCCATCACAGCTTGTCCTTTGATTACCCCGCCAAATCCTCCCTGCCCAGATTCACCAGCTGCAAAATTAACCAGTTACGTTCCACGGCCAGCAAACATAAATTGCAATAACTCAGCCATAGGTTCCAACAGAAGAAGAACCACCTTCTCATCCAGTCAAGTTTGCAATAACTTCAACTCGGGACGTTGCTCATGGCAACGCTGCCGTTATCTACACATTTGCAGCTATTGTGGCGGCGCTCACGCCCGCACTATATGCCCTGTAAAAAGGTCCGTAAATAAAGATTGAACCTGACACAGTCGACATTCTTAAAAATAAAAAAAATTAATTAAAAAAAAATAAATAAATAAAAATCCTTTCCAATAACTACTCAATTCCTTACTTAATCCACCTGTTAGATGATTTCCTTATCTCACCGCCCGCCCGACATCCCAGCCGCGCATCTTCTCACAGTCCAAAAGTCTTCGCTGAAAGAAAAAAACAAAAACAAAAAAAAATGACAGGAATATTTTGGTCGCATCCACCCTCCTAGAAATCCAAATTGTTTTAAATGCGAGCTTCTATCTCTGCTCGGCCACTTAAACTTTGCGATGTGCATTATCCCGCAAGGCCGCCCTTTCATCTCACATCTCCTCTTCCTCGCGTAATGTATCTCCACCCTCCGCCGAGGCTACCACTCCAACAAGACCGCCCGCACACTGGACGCAATGTTCATTTTGGCTTTTTCGGTTTCCTCAGATGCTCAGAACTCACCATCACTTCCAGCTATAGCCCAAAAGTCCACCCCACAATCACAGATCTATCAGTGCTAGAAAACGAAACCATCTCTTACTTCATAAAGCAAAGTAAGACAGACCAAATGAAAAAAGGCTGCCCAAAAGGCCTCTCCCAGCAGCAGATTCAAGAAATTGGCCGCTGGTCGTCGGAGGCTTTTAAGAGTTACATCCATTCTAACCGCTTCCATACCAAAGAAGCTCAATGAACCCTCATCAGCTAAAATTCTCCAGCATCAACTTTTTCATACACCCAACCTTACAGGCCCACCACACCCGCAGGAGCCCCGTCCCCCATCCTAACTCGCTCCACTGCCACAGCAGTGCTATCTCTCCGCTCCCGCAGGAGCTCACCTTTTTCTCTTCCAACCTGCCCTTAGGCCGCTGGAAAGCAAGTTGGGTTCCACTCCCGTTGCAACATTAACTTCTCTGCTCCCTCAGGAGCTACGTTTCCCAACTCCAACTCACTCCACTGCCACAGCAATACCACATCCTCCGGTCCCGCAGGAGCTCAGCTCTCCTTCCAACTTTCCTTTCGGATAGCCTAGAAAGCAAATTTCGAAAGTAAGTTTGGTTCCAACACAGCAGCAGCATAATCTCTTCCTTTCCAGCAGGAGCTCGTTCTCCACCCAACTGGCTCATCGGTTAGTTAGAAAGAACTACAACACAATCTACTCCGCTCCCGCAGGAGCCCAGTCCTTAGTTCAACTTACCTTTTGGACAGTTGAGTTCAGAAAGCAAGTTTGGCCCACTGCCGCAGCAGTGTCATCTCTTCCACTCCCGCAAGAGTTCCATTTTCTTCTTCCAACTCGCTTCATTCCCACGGAACCATTATCTCTTCCGCTCCAGCAAGTGCCCAATTCTCCTTTCAACTCACCATAGGATACCTGGAAAGCAAGTCGAAAGCAAGTTTGTCCACTGTCGCAGCAGTGTCTTCTACTCCGCTCCCGCAGGAGCTCCGTTACTCCGTCCAAACTTGCTCCACTGCCGCAGCAGTGTCATCTGTTTCGCTCCCGCAGGAGCTCAGTTCTATGTCCAAAATTGTTTTGGATATTTAAAGCAAGTTGAAAAGCAAGTCTGGTCCACTGCCACAGCAGTGTCATCTACTCCACTCCCGCAGGAGCTCCATTACTCCGTCCAAACTTGCTCCACTGCCGCAGCAGTGTCATCTGCTCCGCTCCCGCAGGAGCTCAGTTCTATGTCCAAAATTGTTTTGGATTTTTAAAAGCAAGATTGAAAAGCAAGTCTGGTCCACTGCCGCAGCAGTGTCATCTACTCCGCTCCCGCAGGAGCTCAGTTCTATGTCCAAAATTGTTTTGGATTTTTAAAAGCAAGATTGAAAAGCAAGTCTGCTCCACTGCCGCAACAGTGTCATCTCCTCCGCTTCCGCAGTAGTCCTTCCCCAGCCTACTACCTGAGAGGCACATCTATCCAACCTCAAGACAACCAACTTCCGTCCCATGGTTAAAGAAGCCTACCAGTGACTAACCCCTTCCCACGGCTGATACTTTAAGCTTTGCACTCCGCAAGTTTTTGGGGGGTCATCAACATCATTCTGGCAGCTGTCCTGCATTTTATTTTGCAGCTTTTGGGGGAGTGCTCTGGGTTCGGGCCGAATACCCAGCTCGGAGCCCTCTCCTCGGACAGCACGCCAAATACGCATTTATTCTATCTGACTTATTTGTAAGTGTGAACTCGTGAATTAAATTTTTGAGAGGCTGATTACAAAAACAAAAGTCTCAAGCACATCCCAAGCACACAACTCTAATGTTAATTATAATTTTATCTAGCCGAAATGACTAACTTTAGCTGCATGTTGTACTTTACTGTATTTTCCTTTTAGATTTGAATCATATTTCAAGTAATTCAAAACCATCATAGCGAACCGTGTGCATCTGAAGTGTCTCAGCTGAAGGAAATAATCCATTATCCATTATTTATCGGCTTTAATAGATCGGCCAAGTGGCCGATATATCTTGCATCCCTATAGTTACAAGTCTGTTCTGATGCAATATAATAATAGAATTTACTCACCCTCATTCCAAAACAATAGCTGTGTCCCAATTAAGAAGTGGCATCCTTAAAAGTGTGCAAAGTTCAAAGGTCACGCCTTCGGAGTCCACGAAGGTTGAAATGAGCATTGCTAAACGGGATGGCCTAGCAACTGACAAAGTCAATTAAACACATGTGACTGTATATGAAGAGTCCAGATGCAAAAGCCTCTAATTGCCATTTGAAATTTTCTTCTAGAATGATCATTTTTATCAAGCTTGTATATTTAAGTGCATTAATTTCATCTGTGTCTGTAGGCATAAGGATGTTGTGAAGTTGCTGAGGAAGACTGGAGCTCATTTTTCCCCGGCTGAAATGGCTGATGCTGGAACGAAGTTGCACAGGTCTCATTTACATACACACATTTCCTCTCGATCAATCCTTCACTTATTGCTTTTATAAACTTGTGGACACTGCAATTTGATAAATGACACAAATGTCGGTTTTATTATTAGTAGTAGTAGCACTTTTTTCAGTGCTGATTTATTTCATTACAATTCTTGCGTTAATTAATATAGTTAAGCTTAAGGTTTTTAAATGGCACATTAAAGTTCAATGGAAGTGTTTTATTTGTATTGGTACATCCGTGCCGCGAGATGTTTCAAAAGTGGTGGGGACAATATCGACCCTGGCAAAAAGTGGTGGGGACATGTCCCACCCGTCCCCCCCGTAAATGACGCCTATGGATTCTAATGTGTGTTTTACAGTCTTGTGGCGAGTGGCGACTCTGAAGGATTGGAGATTTGGCAGTTAGCTGGGGTTGATCAGAAGTCCACTGGAGTGGTGAGTTAACAGAGTTGGGAACGTTACTTTAAAAAAGTAATTAGTTATAGTTACTCACTACTTGTTCCAAAAAGTAACTGAGTTAGTAACTGAATTACTATATAATAAAGGTAACTCGTTATAATGGAGATCTGTGTGGAATACAGAATTATAATCAAACATTTGATGCATTCAGTGACATTTTATTCTTATAACTGTTTGAATGGAGAAACAAGACATTATTTGTTGCGTTCAGTGTTGCATTGCTTTGACAATGTAGAACCAATTTTTTTTAGGCAATGACAAAAATGGCTATATAATTTAAAGATGCTTCCTGTAAACCAGGGGTGTCCAAACTCAGTCCTGGAGGGCCATTGTCCTGCAGATTTGATCTACAACTTTCCTCAACACACCTGTCTGGAAGTTGCTAGAGTACCTAGTGGGACCTAAACTGAGTTGTATCCTCATTCACTATTCCCTACATTACTCCACTAATATCGTCTTCTTGAAGGAGTGAATGAAAACGAGTGAGCGAATTCGGACACTTAGTGCACCATAAGGGAGACGATTGAATTCATTCAGCATGACCCTCACAGTGCATTATGGGTATTATCTGGTGGTTGAGTGTACATCAGATGTAGACTTATTATTGCGGTGCATTTTGGGATTGAATGAGTGCACTCGATAACATCCAGTGTGGTTTCGGACACCAATACAAATGGCTGTCTCCACAAATAGTGCCCTCTTTAAGGGTATTGGGGTCGATTTTGAACACAGTCCTTGATTAGCTGGTTCGGGTGTGATGATTGGGGTTGGAGCTAAACTTTGCAGGACAGTGGCCCTCCAGGAGCAGGACTGGACACCCCTGCCGAAACTTTAATTAATGGGCTTCTCTTACATTTAGGCAAGAGCCACTGGAACGGAGTAGACTGAGTGCTTACAACAGGCGGCACAGTACCAAACTCAGGTAGGGAACATATATATATATATATATATTAGGGGTGGAACGGTACATGTATTCGTACCGAACCGAAACGGTACGGGCGTCACGGTTCGGTGCACGAATTTACACGGAGAATACACGGTATAAAAATAAATAAAACTCGCGTGAAAATTAATTAATGTAATGCGGAACTACTTTTAGATACGCGGGTTCTTTAGGGACACATAATCTGTACCATCGGCTTAGCTCTGAACGCGCGTTCACTTCAAACGTTGGCTTTATACGCGCGTCCTATTCGCTTTGGACTAGCGTCGAACTAGACGCGATAGACGCGAATTTAACGCTCTATTCGTGTTTGGTGTGACCGCATAATGAACAGGCTGCAATGTCAAGATTGCAATGCTGGAGTGTGTGTGTTTGTGTGAAAGAGAGAGAGGCGCGGCCGCGATCGAACAGTGGAAACATAAAAAACATACTCCGTCATTTTGTTCATACAGATCATTAAACCTGCAAAGTGTTTACTTATATTTGTGTACACTCGCTATAAAACACAACATTGTGCTTTTGTCACACTGTAAACTCTTGTCAAACTGTAACCTACAACTGTCACCCAATAAGGATGCTTTTTACCTTTTACTTAATGGTTACATCACATGCCATGTTTTAGAGTCATTACATTGAACTTTTTCAAAAGCATATAAATCCTAAATTTGTTTAAATCCTAAGTTTTTATATATTTTTTTAATTTTAAGTTTTTGCATTTTAAATGATTCTTTAGTATGACATGAATTTTTAGAAGTGCATGTATTAAAAGTTGCATGTGTGAAATGTTCTTTTTTGAAACATTAATTTATTAGCATGTACATTACTAAAGTAAGTTATGTATGTCAACTCTACAAAATAATTTCAACTGAAAAATATAGTATATACCTTTCCACAGATTGAACATGAAGTTAAATATTAACAAGTATTCTTTACATAAAACATTTAATTTGTATATTAGAATAACTAAGCTTTATATTTATACAATTAAGCTTTTTACTGATGCTCTTCACTTTACGGGATCAGACAGATGGTTAATGAGGAAATAACCGTTTAAGACTTTACTCAAACATTTGTCATCCTTTTATGTGAAAAAATCAATATGTACAATATGTACACACATACACACACTGTATAGGTATATATATATATATATATATATATATAATAATTTGTATTATTATTATGTTTTTTTATTATTATTATGTATCAATGGTTTCCCATGGTAAAATGATACAGGTTCAGGCATTCAGTAATTAATAGCTTGACAGCCATCTTGACATTTCCTTCAGATACAGTGAGGTGCTGTCATACTTTATGCTGTGCTATTCTGTGATTGGACAATTTTTGGTTTAACCATTTTATATGTTCATAAATTGTGAATGGATTTTGAGTTAGCTGTCATCATGTTATATTGAAATGTAATTGGTTTAGACAAAACAGGTCAGGATAGATAGTGCTGAAAATGGCATGAATGTTTCTTTAAAAAAAAAACTGGTTAAACGCATTAAAATGTGCATCCAGATCATTCCATATAATAGTAATAATAATAATAATAAACATTGTGACGCAATCTACATTTTGCATATTGAAAATTGCATAACTGCAAAAATGCAATGCATTATTCTCTTTCTGTCTGTTCTCTAGAATGGGGAGTATATCGAGTTTACTGCTTGTCCAAGATCTTGAGGAGGCCGTCCTGCTAGGTGTCGCTTCCTGCCCTTATCATACTTTTCATTTTATAAACATTTATAATCATTAGTCATTTATACACTCTTGTACATTACATAAGAGTGTTGATTTGTTTTGTGCGACACAATGCCAATGTTAGAAACTCCCCCTCAGATGACGCTGGTACGCGGTATGACAGAGAAGACCTGTTCTTTTAAAGAGCATGTAGAAGGGAAGCTTTTCAAAGCATGTTTTGATAATGATCATGAAGGTTTGCTTGCTTTTAATCAATCTATATAATCCAATGTTTTAATATACGATTAAGAGGGGGGAGTGAAAAATCTGAAGATTTTTAATAAATCAATCATACATAGTTTATATTTGATTTAATTTTATAATCGTTTATAATCATTAGTCATGTAAAGGGATATTTGTCTTCATGGGAGGAGATAAGAGATTGTCTTAAAGGTTTTTAACTTCACATGACGATGTTGTGAAGCAGTAATTTTCCAATCGTTTTCCCTTGGTATAATGACACTTGTTGGAATTGTACTGGCCAGACGAAGTCTGAGCATTGACATATATGCAACTAAAATAATTCAATAAACTCTGCTCTTTTATTTACACCACTCCGTCTCCTGCTTCTGCTCTATTCTGGCTTTTTCAGTCAAATTCTCAGGGGTGCGTTTCCCAAAAGCATCGTTAGCCAACTATGGTCTCAAGTTCCGTCGTTATGAGCAGTTCAACAAGTCTGTGTTTCCCGAAACCATCGTTCCAACGAACATTCACAAACCGCATCGCAAAGTTATGTGGTTGGAACGACATATCTCGACCTGTGGTTAGAAGCATAGTTTCTAGTTTGCATGACATGTGGAATTAATAAATCTTCGTCTTAAGCAAAATAAGCAAGCTGACATTCATTACAATATGTATCTTTTATTTAGAATACATACAAATGTCATTTATGTCTTTTAGTTTGTCGAGATTTTAAAGCACCGTTTTTTTAAAAGTGCACATGTGCGAACGCTCTAGCCTACTGAACGAGTCTATCTATGATTGAATCTGGAAATAAAGCAAAATAAAAATTGTCCTCAGATACTGTGTTCGTGATTTATAGCAAACCATCTAGCATTAATTGGATCTCAAACATATTCATTAAAGAAAGTTACTACTCCACCACCTGCGTGACATCATTAACCAATGTGGTTGAACAACCAATTTGCGACAATACGGTTTCGGGAAACAGTTGTGACTAGCTAGTTGATTTCTTCAACGATGCATCGTACTATGGTAGTGAAGCAGCCAATTCTCTTGTTGTACGGGAAACACACCCCACGCTAATAGAAGGCTGTAAACATGAGCGAGTCTTGAGGTACCAAACAAGACTTTCTGTTGACAGGTCCAGTCAAACGGATATCTTTTGACAAGATTTAAAGTTCATTTTTCAAACATCATTAGTGTCGACGTGAATATAATCTTAGAGAATTTAATTGAATTTAAATTTACTTTGATGTCAGACGCTCTGGCTCCCGTCAAACATGTGACTATGGTGGCTAGTGTCTCTATTTTCACGTTCCATGTAATATAATCGCCAATAACTTGGGTACTTTCAACAGGATTCTCAGTGGGTGTTTCAGTGAGAGGGGAGAACCTGTTTAATGTTGTTATCGGAACGGAAGAGCGGTGTTTTGTCCTGCGACTACAGCGTCTCACGGTCACCCAGTTGTCCTGCTGCACGGTCTCTACAGCTGGAACCGAACAATTTACAGAGTTCACTAAGCTGGTCACATCCAAAGCAGTATCTAAAGCCCTTGCACTCTTACTATCCTCGATTAATGTTTGAATGCGTGTCTTTAACAAGTGACAATAACAGGAGAAGACATTACTCACCGTGTTTGTTGACTGATTCTACTTACCTTAGTTGCTTGATAGACTCATAAAAGGCGCGAGAGAGAAAAAAAGATGGCAAGTACGGATGGCATGTTAACAGGCTAGCGGGATACTAGCATACAGATAACGCTATAATGAACAGATAACTCTGTATATATGTGTTCACACCTTAAACTGAAAGTAATAGCCTTTTTACACCTGTTAAGATGTGTTTGTCATCAATCAGATCACAAGTAGACAACGCCAAACAGGGTCTAAAATATTTTGAGCTTGTTCACGTTCGACTACTTCCAGAGGTAATCGAAAACGTATCAAAATGTGTTCAAACAGACACTCTCCTGCCTACTGACCTAATGCGTAAACATTATGGGAAGAGCTCTAACTAGACAGGATTTAAACTTTGTCAGCTGAAGACCCAAGTTTGGTTTGAAGACGAAAAAAAAGTACCAAACACAATGTTCTCTTACCATTTCTGATTTCTAACACACACTCACAGTGTCACCTTGCGGCTGTCAGAGCTGAAACAAAAGCTGCTGCTCTCCGTGTGTTTTTCCTTCATCAGCTTATTTTTTCCATTAGATTGAAAGACCTGAAAAAGCCCATACATTTACCCAGCCATAGACCCTCCCCGCGAAGAAATTGAAAGTGGACAAATGTGATTGATCAACCCATCTTAATACCACATCTTAATACCAGGTGTAAACATGGCCTAAACGTTGACATTGTTTTTCCATAGGGCTGATACAGTGGAAATAAGAATTTTAATCTGCAGTTCAATAACTCATGAAATATCAAATCGAAAAACAGAATGCAGAACTAACATAAGGCTTAATCCAAATGTATGGGCTCACAGCTCTCATTCAGCACAAATACATGTTTCTATATTTGGGGTGTAACATTTGGTTACTAACCTATTATTTCTTCTGTAAACAAAACGTTGTGGATCGAGTGGCCCATGGTGGCAGTGGGGTTATGTTATGGGGAGGCATATGTTATGGACAACAAACACAGGTGCATTTTATTGATGGCATTGTGAATGCACAGAGATACCGTGACGAAATCCAGAGGCACATTGTTGTGCCATTCATCCACGACCATTACCTTGTGTTGCAGCATGATAATGCACGGCCCTATGTTGCAATGATCTGTAAACAATTCCTGGAAGCTTAAAACATCCCAGTTCTTGCATGGTCAGCATACTCACCGGACACGTCACCCATTGAGCATGTTTGGGATGCTCTGGATCGGCGTATACGACAGCGTGTTCCAGGTCCTGCCAATATCCAGCAACTTTGCACAGCCATTGAAGAGGAGTGGACCATCATTCCATAGGCCACAATCAACAGCCTGATCAACTCGATGTGAAGGAGATGTGATGCACTGCGTGAGGCAAATGGTGCTCACACCAGATACTGACTGGT